TCGTCCGCCTCTAGCAATCCAAGCTATGTCCTTGGAGGTGGCATGCTACCTGTACCTGAAAATAATATCCCATATAGGGTGAGCCAACGCCCAGTAGAGATATGCTAAACACAATATGAGCAATAACTAAGACATTAGCAATTGATAAATGTTCAATTTCCACCAATCAGTTCATAATCCGTTTCCATTTCATCTTTCATGTCATAACAATTTCACAATTTACACCAACGGCTCAGAACCTGGCCACCCACTTGTATGAGACAGTGACTCATATTAAACATTTCCCATTTTACAATAGATGAACATATTAGTTGTATCAACATCTCAACAAATAAGCATACAAGTTGTATCCACATTTCAACAGATAAGCATACAAGCTGTATCATCACTTCCATAGATAAACATATGAGTTGTATCATCACATAAATCTGACAAGCATATGAGCTGTATCAGTGGAGTCCATCCCCTATCTCCTCCCAAACAACATCCGGTTTAGAGGTCCATCCCCTATCTTCCCCTAAACCGTGGAGTACATCCCCTATCTCCTCCCGCATACATACATAGAGTATATACATATTGGTCATATACACAATCAATCAATACATAACGTTAATGTATTCTACCAATCGTCATACTTTATGACATAGCCAATTGATTAGTTTTAGTTTGCCTAATCATCATGCATTGTCTACAACAATCAAAACTACCCTCCACCGATAGAGCAAGCAATTATTTCTAAACAGATAATAAAAGCTCCAACAGATAAAATATCATGTTTTCAAAAGTGAGCGATTAACAAATCCAACTCCACTATTCTACCATATAATGAGTCAATTTCATTATTTCCAACTCAATTCCAAATACCAACACTTTTCCCAAATTAATTATACAAATTAATTTACATAACGAATTAGGGCTTTTTCTCCCATTTTTCGATATTGACCCAATGGTCCATATATCAACAACCAACATCAATACCACTATTTTGAAACCCAAAATACTCATTTTAGAATCAAAATAATAAAACCCTCTTTGACATTTTGAAACCCTAAGTCCCAAAATTTCCCAACTTCAACACTTTATCAAAATCGCCAAAAAAATCTGTGTTAAAGACCATAAGAGTGAGTAGGAATCCCTACCTCAAATTCGGAGTTCAAGGGATGAAGATGAAGAAACTCAACGTGCTCCAAAACTCGATATTTTCGGATCAAAACGTAACCCTCGACGGTCAACACAACTTTTGTAAAGGCCAAAGGTGAGGAAACAACTCTAACTAGATCAATACCTAGAGAGAAGGCAAGGTTCTAGATAGAGAGGCTCAACAATGGAGTTTTGGAAAAGTAAGAGAGAGAAATGAATGTGAAAAAGTGATTTTAAAAGTCAAAACACGGAGCTTTAAACCCGACTCCCCGCTCGAGCATGGAAACTTCCGCTCGAGCGTCACTCACAGACTCCCGCTCGAGCATCCAAACTGCTGCTCGAGCCCTGAATACACACTCCCAGCACTTTTATAGAACCAGGTCTCTGCTCGAGCATCCAACTCCCCGCTAGAGCGGAACACACAAACTCCCGCTCGAGCGGACAACCCTGCAGAGAAAAATACTGGAAGGGTGATTTTCCCGCTCGAGCGCCAAAATCCCCGCTCGAGCGGACAGACCAAAATCTGGGCATCTACACTTGGTTCCTAAGCTCAACCAACCTGTTTTACACCTGCCCAACACAACCCAAGACTCAAATACAAAAGAGTAAAGGATGTAAACGAGATGTACACAACAACCAATAAAAAGGGAAATCGGGATCGCTATATATAGTGTTCATCCAATGGTTAAGGAAAGTATTCAGAATTTTTTTTACCGAAGTACAAAGGAAGCAATATTGTTTATGCATAGAGCGTAGTTTACATATTTATTTATTTTTATTTAATTTTATCAGTAAAAAAAAAAAAAACTTTATTAATGAAAAGTATACATACATATCACAAACATGGGGTAGCCATTTCAGAACAGTATGTAGTTTTGAACAACATAACAGTATGAATTACATAACGAAAAAACTAAAACAAAGTAACCAAGAAAAAATAGTGCACGTAAGGCTATAAAGCAGAACTGGTTTTTGCTTCTCTGAAATATTATCCCATTCAGTTGCTCTTTTCTGTGATTTTGATATGAAGGCCATCTACAAAATCCAAAACGGGTCTCCGAGAAATATTTCCTCCCTTGACTTTTGTCCAACTGTATATCCAAAATAAAATCACAAATTAAGTTGAAAACAAATACTACACTTTGTTAACAAGCTTGAGTAACACAAGTGGAAATTAAAAACGAAAAAACAAAGAAGAGAAGCAAAAAGAAAAATGTTTTACCTATACTTGGTGACCAATACATGTAGAAATTAAAAACGAAAAAACAAAGAAGAGAAGCTCAATGCCCTCTTTTAATGATGAGCAAATTATATTAACGGTGCCTATAGTTTGAAACTTGTGTCACTTTGATCCTTAACTTTTTAATTGTGACACATTGAATCCTAAATTTTAAATCTTGTTCCAAATAAGGACAGTTGAAAATACAAAAAGGGTAAAATCGTCAATTTGATAAAAATATAAACTAATTTGACAAAAATAAATGTCAAAAAAATATTTTTAAATTTTTAAAAATTATTTGTACCCACTAAAGATAAAATTATATAAAATTGATAAATCTTTTACACATTTATTTAATTTTATTTTTACCAAATTAATTTTTATTATGTGTTTGGATGATGACCATGTAATGGATAGTTGCTAAGTTTTTAATGTGTAATCGATATATTTAATATATAAAATGTTTTTCGTTTTGAATTTTTTGATTTAATGGATTGGTTTGATAATGACATCAAAGTTATCGCCATATATAACTTTTGGAAAAACAGAAACTAATTTAATGAAAATAAAAACAACCGTCCATTACATGATCATCATCCAAACACGTAATAAAAATTACTTTGATAAAAATATATAAATAAATGTGTAAAAGATTTATCAGTTTTACATAATTTTATTTTTGGTGATTAGAAATAATTATTAAAAATTTAAAAATATTTTTTTAACATTTATTTTTATCAAATTAGTTTATATTTTATCAAATTAAAGACTTTGTTCTTGAAATTGAGTAATGGTATTTTCAATTATCCTTATTTGGAATAAAATTCAAAATTCAAGGTGAAATGTGTCACACATGAAAAGTCAGAGACTACACAAGTCCCAAACTATAAGGACTGTTAGTATAATTCACCCCTTAATGGACAATGTCACTATTTTAAACATTAGAACAATTAAGGCATCAAAATGACGTGCAGCAGTGAAAATTTTAAAATCACTCATGCGATCTCTTCCTGAAACCAAAAAATAAAAAAATAATTTTTTTTTTTTTTAAAAGGTCAAGATGCACCTTCCAACGTGATGGATTAAATTTAACTGGATTCTTAAAAGCTTCTGGATTCAGTTGATGAGCAGAAGTAACAATCATAATGACCCAGCCCACTGGAACTGTATATCCTGTTAAGTTTTTAAGCAATAAATATTTCAAATTCTATTATATGGGCCTTATATTTGTAATAAAAAATATAGATGTGGAGCTAATTGATGTTATTATGATGGAATTTATAATACATACCATTGAATTTGATATCTTTTGTTACTCTTCTTAACAACCCTGGAACTACATTTCCCAACCTAAGAACTTCGTTCACAACCTGCAATTTCACATATTAATAAGAAATACACATCATTAGTAAAGTAAGAATAAAATTTCAATTAATTAATCCTTTTGAGGCAGAAAACAAAATAAATTGAGATCATCGTACAAACGTACATTAAGTGTAAAAGTCATCGATTTATATTCTTTCCATAAAAGTGGAGAATCTGGATTCTTCCTATTTCTAATGATTGCATCATTTTCAGCCTGATAAAAGTAAACAATCATTAATATCACAAATTTATATGCATGGAGAGTTATGCTAAATCATTTATCAACCAAAATTGAAAAAGCAATCAACAATCGTGTCAATTAGTTAAAATTTAGGAGTGCCAACGTACTGTTAGCTCCTCCAAAATCGAAGGATGCTCTGAGAGTAACTTCAAACTCAATAGTATAACTGAAGTGATGGGCTCATAGTTGGCAAATAAAATTCCAAACATAAAGTTGGATAGGAAATCGGGAGTCACAAACTTCTGAGTTTTCAAGTCTTCCATGACTGTATCAAGAAAGTCCATTTGAATCTTGTTGGGGGAATTCATTCTCTCCACTATGGCATCCCTCATTATGCTTAGCATCTCCTTTCGGTCCTGAATATTGAACAAGATAAAAACACATATAAAACTTGGGAACTATCTCTCAATATATACATATATCTCTTCAAAAACAAAGTCATAATTTCTCTTTGAGCTACTACCTTCACTGTTTGGTGGAATGTAGTACCGGGAATGTCTAAGGGAAGGCACAAAAGACCGTGTAATAAGCTAGAAAATCTCTTACTTAGCGGTTTCTCAGATGATTTTTCCCAATCATAGCTAATCAACTGCTTCAATGTGAAGTCAAAAATCATCTGTAATGACCAAATAGAGATAAATGAAATTAAGCACCATAAATTAAGGCTGATTAATCAAAGATCAAATTAATGAGCTTGAATTTTTATTTTTTTCCGTACACTTGCAGCGTCATGTTTGACATCAACAATTTGGTTAGTAGACCAATGACGTAGAGTTGTCTGAATGACTTGTTCGATTTGAGAGAGCAAATTCACTCTGATGCCCTCAACGCCAAACCGACTCAAAGTAGTGTTTCTTATGTACTTTTGAACATTGCCCACTGCATATATCGGCAACATGCTTGTGAACGTATCCAAGTACCATAGTTCAATCGATTTCCCTTCTTCCGTAAGGATGTAATGATTGAATTTTGGATCGGTTGTTAGTACTACCGGTTTACCCGCTATATTAGTTCGAAACACCGGCCCATATCTACACACAATCAAAAAAACAAAAGACAACAAATAATTACACTTTAATAATGAAAAAAATAAAATAAAAATAGAATACTTGTTTACAAACTGTTTCTGAAAACCCTTTTTTTCCAAATTTAATTATGTATACTACCTCTGGACTCTCTTAGAAATGAAGGGATGGAGTTCTAATGATCGGCTGGGAATAAGGAGCTGAATGGTCTCTCCGATGAGAGGGAGGCCCATGGAACCCGGTGGAAGAACACCATTTTCGCATTTGGGATTCCTCCATTTGCGAACCCAATGAGTTATGAATATGGTAACCAATGCTACCACGAAAGTGCTCAAAACTACTCCTAGTGAGAACATGTTTTTCTCTCAATAGAAGAAAAGGAGCAATACGGGATGATATATTACTCTTATTCTTGGATAAGGGGTGATGGGGTTGTTGTGTCCTGCATGTCTATTTATAGAAGCAGCAGTCGTAATTTAGCAACTAGCAAGTATTAAACTTTTCTATCGATCTACATTCACATGGCACAAAAGTCATTTTTTTAAACTTAAATATGTCTCTCTTCTTTGTCTTTTTCTTTTTATTTACGTTATCCAATTGGCTCATATCCGTTATTTTATTAAGGGATTTTTTATTTTTTACGAAGAGATATTAAAGAAATGATTTGACTCAAATAAAAGCACTTATTTAAATAAGTGTACTTATATAGGTTATATCAAACAAAGCCTAAACAATAGTGCTATAATTATAGAATTAATACATTAAAAAAATACACAAAAAGTACATTGTGTAATTTAAATTTATTTTAAATATAAATTATACAACACTTAAAATAAATCTCAATTACACATTATACATTCTTTACAATTTTGTTTTGCTTTTGTGTATATATCATTTGTCTTTGTTCAACCATATCAGCCACATGCAATAATTTAATGGCTAACTAGTTGATTTTTTATATATATATAATTGTTATGAGTCGTATCTGATAAATATTAAATATTAAATTTTAAATTTAAATAGGGCCGAATTCAATTTTGTCATACATTTTATTACAGTCCAATCATAATTGTTGACTAAATTTTAAAATTAGAACCACCTATTTTACTGACTATTTGGTTTGGAATTTTTAAAACTTTTAGTTTGTATTTTTTTGCTTTTATTATTTTTTTATATTTTAACCTCTTTTTTTAGTTTTTAGATTTACTTTATCTAATTACATTTAAAAAGTACAATATTTATGAAAAAATATTTTGAAATTCATTGATTACAAAAAATATATTTAAAAAATAGTACATTTTTGTATTTTGTTGTATTTAAATTTATAAATATTATACTTTTTAAATGTATTTAGATTAAGTTGATCTAAAAAAAAATAGATTAAAAAGTAAAAAAAATACAAATTGAAAACTCAAAAAATTATTTTTAAAAATACCAAACTGAATAGTTTTGGAAAGAATCAACAGGTTGGACAAAACAAGGCCATGCATTAAAGTTTTTGCTTCTGCAAAGGTTGTATCTTTGATTCATAGAGAGGACGTATGAATGGAAATATACTCGAAACTCACAAAGAAAAAACAAATTGAGTTAGACAAAAATTAAAGAAAAAAGAAAAAAGAAGTAACTTGAAAATCGACAAATTGCGTTTTGGCAGAAAGATTTTTTTAGATAGAATCTCCATTAGTAATTCAAAAATATAAAGAATTTAAATTTGGAAAATTTACCCATAAGTCCTAGTTTCTGAAAAGTTGAACCATTTAGTCCTAAAAGTTTTCTTATGCCCCATTTAGTCCCATTTGCACATCAATCTAATGTTCGAAACATTAATTTGATGTTCAAAATCTAATGTTCGAAACATTAATCTGATGTTCGAAATCTAATGTTCGAAACATTAATCTGATGTTTGAAACATTGTAATGGGACCTTTCAGTCTATAAGAAAACTTTTAGGACTAAACAGTGTATAAATTATTAATTTGAGATTTATTGGTACATCCCACATTAAATAAAGGCGCATATGCTTTGAGCATCAACATTTGCACAGCTGCTTTCTTGCCATAATCAAATATCGCGTTGCCTTTTTAAAGTTTTTTTTTTTTCCGTAAGGAAGTTGGGATATTTTTGTTTTTCATTGAGTTTAAAAAATTGATCTAATTTTTGGATTAGAGTAACAATACCCATATAAAAATGTGTCCCACTAAATATGGGAAATCATTCCCATTTGAAAAATATGAGGAGTCCTTTACCACTTCCATATATCCACCTCCCTTTCACCCTTTTAACTGCTAAATTTGGTCTTCTTTGTTTTTGTGTGTTTAAGTAATGTCTGTGACCACGTTTCTGATATCGCTTCGATCCTCGATATGGTGAATGGGAGATGTTCAATTTTTTTTATTTTTTTAAT